CAGGCGTGCGGCGGCGGGGGGACACGGCGCCCTCCACCCACCCGGCGCCACGGAGAGCCCCGGTGCGCGCAGGGGACACGCTAGGAGCGAAGGAGCACGCAGGGTGGGACTCCAGCCCGGGGACACCAAATGACCGCACGTGCTGGCCAGAGGGCAGACAGGCCTGGCGCGCTCGCCTGACAGCCGCAGGCCAGCGTGAGCGCTCACTCAGGAGGGGACCGTCCCTCGCCAGGGACCCCAGAGGTGCTCTGGCAGCAGCCGGCCGCTCGGGGCCTGCGGCACAGGAGGATGCCCGGGGCAAGGGAGGCCAGGCCGCCCGTGCGCGCCAGGACCGACCCCGCGTGCCCGTCACAGGCAGGGGCGGGGCAGTGGAGGTGAAGCCATCTGCAGGCCTCAGCCTGCGGCAGGTGGTGGGAGGCCCCTGGGGGGCACCCTGTGGCCAGCGGACTCGGGGGCAACGGGCAGGACGCCCATGGTCACCAGGCACGCAAGGGGCACCGTGACCCCCGCCCCCGCAGGAGCTGCAGCTGATGCCAGGTACAGGGTGACCCCCACCAGCGAGGCTCCCGGGCAGCAGTGGCCCGCACCCCACCGCCACCCACGCCCACCCCAGGCAGCAGCTGCAGACAGACCATGCCAGCTGCTTGCCCGCCAGCTGGGGTGGAGGCTGGGGCGCCGGCCAGGCAGCCCCCCATCACCTGAGGACGCTGCCGACGGCCTGAAGCAGCGCCTTGCAGCTGAGTCCAGCTCTGGGGCGCTGGCCGAGCAGCGCCCGGTCGGTCGGCGGGGAAGCTGCCGCGGCCTCCAGGCATGACGGGCTGTGCGGCGGGGCGCGCCCCTCCTCTCTCCCTGGGCAGCCGCGGGGCGGCAGCCAAGAGGCCGCCGGGGCCAGGCCTGGGCAGCAGAGACAAACAGCGGCGGCTCTCCGGGAGACGCAGCGGTCTGGTGCGCGGGGCGTGTCCCACTGGCCTCTCCACGGCGCCCTCGGGGGCTGCGTGGGCCGGGCCACGAGTGGGAAGTGGCGCTGGGGGGAAGGGGCTGCCCCCGAGGCCGCGCCCTCCGCTCGCCTGACCCCCGCCCAGACACGACAGGACAGCGGCTGACGGTTCCGGCTGCACCCCATGGCGACAGGCCTGACTGAAAGGTGGTGGCCGCACCA